GCATTCTACAAAGCGAAAAAGGTTTCAAGACAAAAAAGAAAAGTCAAAATATTAATAACTTATTGGCATACCGGGCTACTCATTCCAATATGTGATTCATATATCCGCAGCGAATTTGGTCGTTTAGGTTGAGGATGTTGGAATACATATTTTTCCTGCAGTTGCGTATAAACAACATTAGGAGATGGAAAATAAAGGTTAAAATGGAATATCCTGATCAACAAAGAAAAAAAGTAGTATTACACAGTTCTATAAGGTTTTAGTGACACGAGCATAGATTTTTTTAAAAAAAATGCAATGGAAAAATATTTCGTTTAAAGACTGTAAGGTAGAAACATACTTCTTCAGGTGGATCATAATATATACCGTTGTACGGTATTTCACCTGGAGCCTGCACAGCAAACTTAATCCAGGCAGGAATTGAATCCTTTACGCCAGATGGTGTATCCATCCGAATCTGGAAATTAAGAAGGTGAAAGAAGATCTCTCAGTAAGCTCATTTTGAAAATGATTAAACCCTCAACTAAGTAAATAGCCAATCAGAAAACTTACCTTTACACGTGAGCCATGAGGAATAGCAGGGGATCCATCAGCATTGTTAGGCAGGGAAATCTCCCAAACACCATACTCATTCTGAAAGTGATCATGCCATATATCAACACTAATAAGAGAAAAAACGTTGCTGGCACATGTAAATAGGCTCGTATGCTGCGAAATACACCCTTCTCATGTCATATAATAAACCAGTGTGGATGGAAGTGTACAAAATTCAAGGCGATGTTTGGAAAATGGGTTTGGGATATGATTTCCCACCCCCAAAGGGTAAGTTTTGATCTTAGCCATCCATTCATTTCACCCATTTCATCCTATCCCTCCATTCATTTCCATTTCCCAATCCCACCTCTCCTAACCCATTTTCCAAACACACCCCAAAAGGCTATATTAACCATTAGGATGCAAAATTGCATGCATGTGTTTACTGTTTACCCTAAACATGAATTCTGCTATTTTGGACTCAAAGAAGATGATAGTTAGTAAAGTAAGGAACAGTGCTCTGTTTTCACTGACTTTGAGACAATATAGAGTAGCAGCATTTTAGAATGACACACGTGAGGTTCAACTTTAAGGAATATAAACAGAAATAATGAACCCAGATAATTGAAAATATATTAATGATACAATACAAAGATGGAAAATAAAAAGGTTGAAGACGTACTCTGGTCATAGTATCTGCATTTGGGTTCCAATTGTTGAAGTCACCTACTAATGCTGCAGACTGCAATAGGATGAAAATGTCATTTTTAATTCTTAATGTGATGACTGTTTGAAAAGAAGTTCATCAATATATCATTTGTGCTACTGGTATAATTCCAGTACACTGGATAGGGAGTAGTGACCACTGCCAAATCACGTACCTGTGCTCCAGGTGCCCATTCTCGGTAGGTAATGCCTTCAGCGCTGGAAAGGACGGAATAATGATATTGAGTTTGATCATTTGATATCCAAGTAGAATATTGTAGGCATTTCTGTAGTAATGCGACTTTAATTTTACCTGCGGGTGAATCCAAGCTTTTCGTAACCACGAGAAAATGCATCCAAGCCACCTTCATGTTGGTCAATAGCTGCACGCATTCTCTTGTATTCACTGTATCTGTTCATACCACCATGCATACCAAAAAAGATATACTGAAGTTAACAGAGTAGGTTTCCCAACAAAAGCGCCAGATATCAGAAATTAATTTGCTGAGTTGACAGAGAAGTGAGGGGATTAAACTATGCAGACTACTTGCCACATCCTTTTTGGTATCTCTAGTGATCAGTGCCAATGATTTGTATTGCATTTGTGAGATATCACCTCTATTTTCAAATATTATACCAACCTTAATCAAAATGAAAAAAAGTAAATAACTAACCGGTAGTCAAGATGGTTCCGAAATCCTTCCAGCATTGGGTCAATTTGGTATATCTTCTGCCCATCTCCTGGTGGTGGGATAACTCGTGGTTTATCCTCCACAGTTGGTTCATCAGCATCTTTGATCACACCCTCAGTCACATTTTCCTCAATGTCTTGAATCACTTCTGAAGATTCAAGTTTGTCTTCAGCCACAACCTTTATGCTTGCTTCTGCCACTGCTGGAATCTCTTCCTCCTCCTCAAAAGGTTTTACTTTATTATCATCAGGTATCTACACAGAACATAGATGGATAGACTCTGCATGAGACACCCAAAAAGAAAAAAAGGTACATTCTTTTGTGGCAAAGTTGCTAGTTGGAAGACCCAACTTGGTTTTCAGTAGCCCAACAGCCAGCACAAGGTCACAATGCACAAAACACATGAAACCTGGCATTGCCACTACATCATTTCATCACACATTTGGTCAGTGAATGACAACAGCTCGAATTTTATTCCCGGCATTACCTGAGATTCTTCAGGTTGCTCTTGAGTTTCCACGTCTGGTTCCGCAGAGGACAGCAAGTCGTCGCTCCCACCGCCAGGCACCAGCACCTTCCCAGGAGCACCCGCGCAGCTCACAACGCCACCTGCAAATGCAAAGCCGACTCTACTAGTCAGGCAACGCCATACCACCCCCACTTGCAAGTTGCAACAATAAATAAGAGATCATCTGCATCAGCCTCAAAACGAAACATAAAAAGGAATTAGAGAATGATCACAGCGATTTGTAACACTAACTCATCTTATCCGGCAAGAAAAAAATAAACTCTGGTTCTCAGAATTCAGAAACAGTGATCGCTTCGGTGCACCCAAGTACCCAACAAAGTGCACACACACATCACATACGGATCGAGAGATAACAGTAAAATGGGAGGAATAACGCATGCCCGCGAGGCTGTGAGCTGCAATCGATCAGGAGACCTTCTCTTCCCATCGAAATCTGTCACGGAACAGGTCGCACCCACGCAGAGAGAGAGAGAGAGAGAGAGAGAGGAAGCGACTAAAAATAGGGAGAGAGAGAGAGAGAGTGAGCGCCCCGTGTTCGAGGACAAGGCGAGCGAGCGAGGGAGCCTCACGTGAGAAGGAGTCCTTCCTCCTGAAGAGCACCGACGGCAAGTCCACCCCGCCGGATCGCGCCGCCGGGCCACCCCCGCCGCCGCCGCCGCCCCCCGCCCGCACGACCCCGAGCCTCGCGCCGGACACCGCGAACGACGCCATCCCCCGGTGCGTGCTCCCCCGCCGCCTGCCCGCACGCACTCGCGCGCAGATCCCTCCCGCCGCAAATGCCGCGCCTCGAGCCGAGCGACGAGGAGGAGCAGCACGAGGGAGGAGTGGGGGGAGTCAAGTCGAAGAAGAAGAAGAAGAGGAGCAAGAGTACGAGAGATATTAATCGAGAAGCGAGGAGAAGGGGGGGGGGGAGGGGAGGGGGGAGCAACCAGTGCGGCGGAGATGGAAGCGGCAGAGAGCTGCAGTGCATGGGGATCGGAAAGGGCTGGGGCCCCCGCGGTGTCGCCTTCTCCCGTGGCTCCGGGTGCAGAGCTGGCAGCGGGGTGGGGCCAGCTGGGCCAGGTGACGTACGGCGTTGGGGGGTAGGGGAGATCGCGAACCGACGGTGGAGAGCGCATCGCAGAGCGGCAGAGGCCATCCGTTGTGTTGTGGGCTCCTTTCTCTCTTTTTCCTTTCTTCTTTTTTTTTACTTTTGTTTTCTGAGAAAAATGAACCGTAAAATAATTTTGTACTTTACAGAGGCCTGTTTAGCACATATCAGAATCCTCTGCAATCGAAGCCATATAACTTTTTCACTGATATATAGGTCCGATGATCCTTGAGTCCATATATTAGTGACAAAGGCACTTGCAGAGAATCTCAATCCATTTAGCACAAGTTTAGCTTTAGCTTTACCTCTCTTGAAACCGAAACTCAGCCAAACAGTTTCAGCTCTACTTAAAATAGAAACGGAACTGGGTGAAACGCTTTAACAAAATGAACTAAAGAGATGAATATGGGTTTATGCTGCTCTACAACTTCACTCCAGACTCAACTCTTATAGTTAAATTTAGAAGTTAGAGTTATAAGAAAGAGGTCCAGAGTAGCTACTCCTTTTTCACATGACTAGTGATAATGATAATAACGGATCGCCCCTGGTTGCATCATGGAGGTCATGTGTGTCACGCGCCCACTGGTACTGGTGCCTCGCTCTCGAAACCGTCCATTTGGTTTCCAAGAGAGTGACTGGCCATGGGTGATCGGTGGCAATGGCAACTGGCAAGCAAGTTGGTCACAGCTTCATGGAAGAAGACAAACGAAAATCTCGAGACAGAGAGTTGAGGTGGAATATGCTGGGCGTGCTTATTCGCTGTATTGCTGGATGATCCGATAATCCCCCACCAAGCTAGGTTAACACTTAACAGCGTAGTTTTTTGCAGCATCACCATACTTCAATCTTTTGTTGTTACTTTTTCAAGATTCGCTCACCTTGTTTGAGCGAGTGTTCTGACTTCGGAGCATCGACTGAGAAACAAACAGGAGCACCCAGATCTCACTAGCCAGTGTCATCACGCAGGCATCTTCAATTAATTAGTGATTACTACGTAGTTAGTAATTAGCCCAACACCTGGAAACGTGCAACAACAGCATAATTTAACCCCTCTCGATGATCCTAGATACGGGAGAAATTATTATTATTTATTTAAACAACAATGTCTATCGGTGAACTAGTTGAGGAAGAAGAGCAGCCGTCTGAAACTCTGAATGAAACATTGGCAGCCTCGTTGCCGTCCGTGGTCCCTGCCCTTGGACTTGTCCGGTCGCTTTCTCTAGCCACAGGCCAGATCGCCGGATCAACGTCGCGAGGGCACACCAAAAAGGCGCGGCCGCGTACGACGACGGGCCTACCGCGCCAGGAGGCGCGCGCTCTCCCGCCCGCGAATTCGGCTATCCCCGTGGCGTCCGATATTTTGGCCTTTGGGACCCTTCCTCTCTTTGCCGCTAGAATCCACGGCCCGAGAGAGCGAACGAGTCTGGGCCGTGCACGCGCGCCGTTCCAAATCTGTGTGTCGGCATCAGGAAAGGGACACCGGGAATCCAGATTACAACTTACAAGAAAAAGAAATGCTGATGTCCAAAAGGCCAGGTCATTTTCCTCTCAACAGAAAAGGCAGGAGAATCATATAATCTGTTCTGTTCATGGCAACAAGGAAGGGGAAAATGAGTTATCTTCGTAGTTGCGGACTTGCGGTCTCAAGGTATATAGTGGTACAGCCATAGAAAGGAAACGGCAGTAATTTACATGTGAGATTTCTTGTTTTGATCTAAGCACGCTAGGTGTGTTTCAGAATTCAAATTCCTTCAGATGTTGTATAGAGCACTTATCAGTCATCCAGTAGCTGACGTGAGGGCCTCAGTAAGGAATTACCTGCAGGGCTGTATCAGGGCACTACTCCTGATGATATCTGGATCGATTCTGGGATGAAGTTCCTTCTGTGCTCCTGATCAATTCCTTCGAAGGAAACACAATAGCAGCTATAGGTCTGTCTGCATATCCGCCACCTTCATCGATGACGAATCGGAGGCCATCAATGTGGAGCTTCCCATGGTGTCCACTTACAACGATGGTCTGCTTGCCAGCCAGATCCTGAAGAAGAAGATTGTACATCAACATTTCATGTGTTCGTTTTGATAGGCAAAATAATAGTAGTAGCACTACCAGAGTTTCAAAAGATTATGTGGCCGCCTTTTGAAAAAAAGATTATGTGACCCACCTATGTAAAAGTCAGGCATGTATCCGTTATGAAACAAAATCATGTAGCAATTGCTTATGTTATGTATGCCATGAATTAGCTGTTGGCAGTCCATCACATGCACTGCCATCATGCACACACACCATGTGCTTGCTTGTTTCAGTGAGAACACGATAAGAACACAACAGGTAAAAAAGACAAAGGATGCAGCTATAGTAGACCCACTTCTGGCCACATTGCCACAGGGCTCATCAAACCATCTATAAAAAACTGTCAATCAAATAAGATGTTTAGTATATGGTCAGGCCTAAATCATCACATTAAAAATTTTGGCTATGATCCTATATTCCTATGGCAATAGGGGCGGAGCCAGGAATTTTCCTGATCCTGGGAAAGTCTACCAATGACTTATAATGCGCAAAGATCTTTCACACATGTAAGGTTCACCACTAAGAGTTTCAGCATTGTTGCTTGTATCAACTAAGCACCACATCATTCTGCAATTTGAGCAAGAGCTAGCAATAGATAAGCACAGAGGATCCTAATCCAATGAAAGTCTAGTTGACTAAACTCAAATATAGATTATACGAAACTATAAACACTAATCAACAAAACAACTCTTGGTACTTCCTATGCTCCTGATGATTGGCCAATTGCTGTTGCCTTTCTAAAAGACTACAACACCAAGCGTGCTCAAGCAGTCAAGCTAAGTGGTGTACTAGTGCGCGACCAGTGCCACCATATGTGTGATGTGCCGCACATGGCCACGCACCGAACAACCTAGAGTCATGGAGGCGGGCAGCCAGCCTCGTAGCATGCCTTCATGTGCTTGGCGATCCCAGCCTGTGAAAGACGCTTGCTAGTGCTCCTAGCTGCCCAAATAAAGTGCTGATTTGCCTGCTACGCAGCACAGCAGAGAAGCCGTTCCACTGTTGCAGGCCGAGGAGCCTGGGCGCCCAGGGTGGTTGGGCCCTAGATCCACCCCTGTATGACAAGGTAACGCCACAACTCACAACTAGCATGGATAACTGCTAACTCTCAGGAGCTGTTGTCAACGAATCCACTGTCTTTTTGTTTTTACCTAGACCTTGATTTTAGTGGCGTTTCCTACTTTCCTCCTGTTCCTGTACAATAGTCGCCTCAGTTGCAATTTGTAAATAAGCTAAACCATAAAAAATATCAATATCAAGATAAACTAATGAGGTTTCTATAGGGGGGTTAGGACATAAGAACAAGCCCATTTTGGCCCTCGAACATTGCTCGAATTCCAGTTCTCAACCTAAAACTCAACAGCCACATATTTTTCACACTGAACATCCAACTCCAATACCCTAGAACCTATTCTGTGAAATGTTGGCCAAAATGGTGATCTTTTTCGCAAACGTGCAGGTTTGGCTAACATGGACCCATCTAAGTGGCATCTACCCCGAAATTTGGCTAGTGGGAGTCCATGTCAGCAAAACCAACTTGAAAAATGGTTCAGGAAGTTATTTCTTTGGGTTTGGAAGTTGGGGATGCAAAACAGCAGGTTTTTGAAGTTTGGTGAAAATTGGACTCACAACAGAGTTCAAGAACCAACAATAGATTTTTCCTTATGCCTATGGAATTTCAAAATGGTATGACAAAATACAATGAAACCAGCGAAACGCACACTGATAACTGTTTACTAGGAATACTCAATAGCCCACTGCCTGTAATTTTTAACAGAATGTCATTTAAAACGTGAGAGCAACTTTAATAAATCTGACTGCATATTAGGTTATTTTTCTATAAATTCACCAAGGCTATGTCAAAAGTCAAAACAAATTAACTGGTTTAAACACTTTATGTTAAGATGAGATAGCACAAATATGGTCCAGTGCCTCTACTTGGTTCATAATAACTAAAGATTATCACACTCAGTAAAGGATTTACCATTTTATTTTATCTCACCTTTCAGGGTACGTAATCCTTCAGTAAACGAACTTGTTAAAAACTTTATTTCTTAGAGGGGACTAAAATGTCTTGACATGGCATAAGACCACAGAGGAAAAAATACGGATATTGATTTTCTCAGTTTAGAATAGTGGGAACTGGGAACAGACCGTTGCTAGAATTAAACTCCAACCCTAAGTTGGGTCATTTACAGCCAAAATCCTACTAGCATGACACAATATTGACCCAACAAACAATGATGTAAAGATCTATTTATTGTATATAGAAAGCACCTTGAATACTGCTCAATTATCAAAGTGTTTATAGATGCATTTGTGAGACTAGAATAGCATCTAAAATAGATACTAAAGACCAAAGTGTTCTGCAGGATATGTTGATCTCTTCGCTATAGTAGAGAACAATGGCACTTTGGTGCATTGAATGATACATCTTTGAGGTATGTGAGAGGGGATTGAGTTTGCAGAAACATCAAGTTAGGCAATGCGAAAACCTAATAGAAGCATAACTTTTATGTTGTGGTACCAAGAGTGTGCAATCTGCAATGGGATGAAATATTTGCTCACCTTTGGTATGTTCCAAACGTCCTGCCTCCCGCTTAGCATTGCAACCTTTGATATCTTTGTATCTTTAGTTCTCAAAATTCTAAACTGTTCATTCAAATCAATCGACCTCTCCAGGCCAGCATGAACCGCAATAAGCTTACAAATAATCTGTCCTTCGTTAGTATCAATGGGTACATTTTCCTGCCATACAACCATGCAAATATCTAAGAAACAAACTCCCTTTGCACCTCTCATTATACTTTGCACCATAAAAGGATAGCATACCTCCTCATGGATCCAAACCAATTCGCGCAGAAATTTTTTGTGCTCCTCAGGTACAGCCTTCACAAGATCTGAATGACAATAAAACTTTGTAAGCATTGGTGGTTTCTATTGAAGGGAATCAGGGATCCCTCCCTCCCTCTCTCAAAAGCTGTATTTACTGGTAAAAACAATAGTAGCAAATTAGAAGTAGCTTTGTATAGTTGCAGCGGGAGTTGTACTATGAAACCATGCTTACAAACCCTGCACGAGAGGCATCAATTCGTTGTTTGCTTTCATTAGGTGGGCTAAATGACACTACCTTGAAAAGTTACCTTCACTGTTGGTGAACTGCTCGCTAGCTTGCTAAATTTTGTTATGTTGAGACTACAGGTCATCGAAGTACTATAAAATAAGTTTGGCGCTAATTCTGTTAGTGTATACAAAATTCACCTGTCTATAAATGTTATCATGGTCTTATACTTTTGTGCTTTGTAAACAGTACTAAAGTACTAATTCCTAAGATTGTAACTAGAGAAATAGACAATTGTGCATTGATTTCATATTTCCTGGCATTTGGATTTCAGAACTTCTTTTAAGGTTTACGCATTGTATAGCATTTTAACATTTTGGGAAAGCAATCAGAATTTTCAAGTTTGAAGCCAAACGATAACAATCTAGAGAGTTACTAGTGGCTTAGTGCCAGTCACCTATGGTCCGTTATGTTCCATTGCAAAGCATGAATACAGATGAATAAATCTTGTGCGGTACTCCTGAACACTGACCTGGGGATCCATGAGCAACGCCGTAGGACTCGAAGGTAGGGCGCGCGTCGTAGATGGAGCCCATGTACGATGACCCCCTCTTGGGATTCCTCTTCTCCTTCATGATCCCGCCCCATCTCCTCCCCTGGCAATGCATCCCCTCGTGGCCGGGGCCACGGTACCACCCCTCGTTCTCCTCGTTCTGGATGTACTCCCCCCAGGTGGACGAGAACGGGGTGCCGTCGGGCGGCGGCGGCAGCGCCCCGACGAAGGCGGCGAAGGCGAGGTCGTGGTTGCCGCAGAGGAAGGCGTGGCGCTGCGCGGGGTGGCGGGACGGGAGCGCGAGGAGGAAGTCGATGACCTCGCGGGTGCTGGGCCCGCGGTCGCAGTAGTCGCCGAGGAAGACGACGAGCGCGGTGGCGAAGGCGTCGGGCGGGAGCGCGGACTGGAGGTTCGCCCACAGGCTCTCCAGCTTGGAGATGTAGCCGTGGACGTCTCCCACGCAGATCACCACGCGGGGAGGCGGCGGCGGTGGCGGAGGAGACATCTCGCCGCCGGCGTCGTTTCCTGTTTCCCACAGGTTGCTGATAACACACCACAGAAAGAGAGGAAAAGTAGAATTCCAATTTCCAAGTAGCCCAGGGAAACAAACGCACCGTCCGATGATGGTGACAACACGATCCTGACCGTCCATCCTGATGCCAACTCCCCTCTTCGGCTCCTCCAATCCTCTCCAGTGCGGCCGGTGCCTTTCTACAGCGGCGTTCCACTCGGGTTGGTCTCTCCCCCGAGGCACGGCCGCCGCCGCCGCCGCGCTCGGTCTAATCGGAATCTATTTCTCGACGCGACTCCGCTTCCCCGGCTCCCCTCTCACCCTTCCGCGCCGCCGCCGCCGCCGCTTGTAGTGGTTGGGGGGCGAGCGGCCGCTCGAGAGCGAAGCGATGCTGGAGAAAGACAGGATAGCCTACTTCTACGATGGTACGACCGCGCATTCGCTAAGCCCCCCTCATCTCCTCTCCATTCTCCCTAATCACTGGAGCAACCCTAGCTCTAGCTCTAGATGATAGAGCGAAATCCTACGCCGTCTCGATGTTGTGTGGCTTAATTTCGTCGAAGAAGGGGCATGCAATTAGTACCTAAGCTGATTTCTAGTGGTGTTATATGATTGTGGAGGTTGGAGTGGATGTTACGGTTGGACGGCTTATGAGAAATTCCAGAACTATGAACTTCCCAGGACTTGTTCAACTAGGATTTGTGGTATTTCAGTTGCCCTAGCCCTAGGTGCATGACGCATGATTCATTATCAGTCAGTAACATAAGGTGGGGAAGCAACCCTTGAATCAAGATTTGAATTAGAATCGTTGATCCCTTTATCTGTTTAAGAGGGCGCAGTCAGGCTAGATTTGGTTAACAAGTTCCTATATTCTTTAGCGCCAGCCATTTTCTAAAAGGTCACCAACGCCAGCCATATGTGGTTATTTCTTAGATCACACATAAATTTCCATGATAAGTTCTCTCACATATTTTGTACTAGGTGGTTTCATGACTTGTGCCCTCATTCACCCATGGTCCTTTACATCTCTGTTTATAGAGAGCCACTCATTTTGCAGATGTGAAAGGAAGTTTTCATTGTTCAAAATGTGTAATTTTTATTACTCATTTTGTTTTGATCGTTTACCTTTTTACTGTGTCAATGAACAATTCAGGCGATGTGGGCAATGTCTACTTTGGGCCAAATCACCCGATGAAACCACATCGACTTTGTATGACACATCATCTTGTGCTTTCATATGATCTTCACAAGAAGATGGAGATATATGTCAGTATGAACTTTATTTATTCCCTTCGTTTGCACTTGTTAACTGCCTAAAGTTCCTTTCACCTCTTACTTTTCACACAACGATTTATGCAGAGGCCCCACAAAGCATATCCAACAGAGCTCGCACAGTTCCATTCTGCTGATTATGTGGAATTCTTGCATCGGATAACTCCTGACACCCAACACCTGTATGAAAATGAATTACGTAGATGTATGAATTATGAAACTTTTCTCCTCTATGAACTAGTACTCTGGGATTTGTTAATTTTACAATAAAATGGTTGTCACATATCTTGCTACTCATGTTTAAATTATTATAAATTTATTTATTAAGTTCCTTACCTGGATCTAATAAGTAGCTTAGATCTTCATGTACAGTTAAACTATAAGGAATCTCATACACAACTTAAGGCTAATTAGCTTCACTTACATGAATGCTGTCAGGTGTATATTCACGATATGCCTATTTGACAATTCAAGGAAAATGAGGGCATGTTTGGTCCCCTTTCAAGCTCAAGCAACTTCCCATCTAACGCTGCCTAGATAGCGTTGGTGTTTAGTACAGCTTAGCAAGTCATTCTTCATAGGATGTATATCCTTGCCCATTGAAGCGCATCCCTTGTGGTCAAGGTTTACATGATTTGGTGCACTAAATAGTTTTGGATATCTTTACAGTATTTATATAGTATTAGTTGCACTCTTCTAGGACACATGTGCTTATTTTACAGTTTCAGGGCAAAATAACTGAACACCTAACCTAAGTAGCAGAGTAATCTGGACAAAAGATCCAACTTACCCACTCTTAGAGCTTTTCCCCAATTGAAGTTGGTTTCCAACATAATCCTCATGCCTTTTGGAGCTTTCTAACTTCATTTATCTGGTTCCTTCATATTTGTTCCCAGACAATCTTGGAGAAGACTGCCCAGTCTTTGATAATCTGTTTGAGTTTTGCCAAATATATGCTGGAGGAACTCTAGGTAATATGAAAATTCTGAATGCTTCTTTCTAAAGTGAACTCTTAAGTTCTTCTTTGCTATTTTAGATGCGGCTCGCAGATTGAATCATAAAACATGTGATATTGCTATCAATTGGGCTGGTGGAT